TGAAGACTGACGATGATCAGCCTCGAGTCGCCCGACGTGGTGGTGGCATTAAAGTGTGCGTGGAGCACAGGAGGGCTAGAAGGTTAGTGGGCGCGAGTACCGGCACTGGCGCGCGGCATTCCGCCGCGAGATGACCGATCTTCCGGCAGCGGAAGCAAGTGATCGGGCGATTAGGACGGCCGTTGGGCCCACGAGAAGTCGACTGACGGTGACTATTCGACGCGTCAATCGCGTCGATCTCCATGGGCTCGTGAGGAAAGGGAGCGTGCTAGTGTGGAGCGACTGCGAGGGACGCAAGCCGAAGAAACGTCGTCTGGAGCAAGGAACGAGAGTCAAACTGCGAGTGGAACGGCACGCGGGAACGTTCCAGATGTGGCAGCGGAAGACACCGTGCGACAGGCTTCGGGCGATGTGGCTCGGCGAGCGCACCGAGCGCCAGTCGGGGAGAATTGTCACGGTGTACAGCTGCATGGTAAATTAACGATGCTGGCTGACTGCCTGCAGAAGGTCTACTCGCCCCAAACTCTACAGACCACGTCCAAGCAAGCGGGACCTGCGGCCAAGACAGTGACGTTCCATTGTGAAGTCGTTAAGCAGCTGGTTGTGGCGGGAATTGGAGCTGGACCGCCACACACGAGGGATCTGCTGAAAGGTAAGGAGCTTTAAAACTTCTAGCGAGGTGAAATGAGGAGGTCATTCGTGGATTTCCTTCTAACAAAGAACACAAGAATATATCAACCTTTATATTACTATCCCAGTAGTGTCGCTATTACTACTACCTCCTACGTCGGCCCAAGATACACGACCCCGATTAGAAAAAGACCGCGACATTAGTATCATTTGCTCAGAACTAAGGCTCTCTCATTATCTGTGGTGACGAGGCGCATTATTTAGGTGGAAAAGAAGAGAGACACCTGATTGGCTGTGTGAAGCTGAGATCGATTTTGAGCTAGCTGCCCAGTTTGCTCAAACCAAATTGTTGAGAGACTTCAAATCATGGTACATGTACTGCGATTCTCTAATATTTATGCGGAAACTCAACTGAAACGATAGAACCAACTAAAGCGATGTATCTAAATAAAACCTTGTTTTATTTGAGTTTCAGCATAAAGTTTAGAGAGCCGCAGTACATGCACCGTGATTTGAAGTCACTCAAAGCTTGAACTCAAAACGCAAGTTGGGTGCATGATCAGCAGTTGAACTAACCAGAACGAACAGAGCACATTACGTGCAGAATGTGCACGGCACACGTATTCCTTCATTTTTTTTGTGCATTTCGGTGAGGAATCATGTACTACATGTATATTTTGTGAGCCGGGGCGGTGTCATACCGGTATGTGCAGTACGAACCTCTGACAACTGGATACTTGAAACCTGGTAATCCTCTCCAGCAAAAGCTACTTCAACATTTTACTCGAGCTATATCGCTGAAACACCACCATTCGAAGCGAGAACCAAAATCTCGCTCAAATTGATACGCTACTTTTGGGCTGCGGGGTTATCTAGAGCTTACTGGAGCAGCGAGATCTGCCGTTACGAACACCAAAGCAAGTACATGTACTATATGCATGGTGAGACGGGCACTCTATTCTAGACGATTTTTACGTGCTAAATGTTCCAGCTCACCGCGGGACCAGACTTCTTGTCCATTTCTCCTTTTCCACCGAAGCTTTCGCATAATATTTGAGTGATGAATTTCGTCGGCGCGATACTGCTACTGGGGATCTCCATATCGTCGGTTTTGGCTGTGACAGAGTGTCCACCGCATGTAAGCAGCCCTATTAAAGCAACGCTCGACGGCCGCCAGCTCTTCAGTGCATGCGCTACTGGCGTCAAGGAAGGTCAAGTCAACGTGCTCTTCGACGTACTCAACCTCTCAGATCGCGATTTTCTTGCCTTCTGCCGCTCTTCGCGTTGCATCAAGCCCGTGGCGTTGCTGCTACAATCAATCCCGAACATTACCTACCAAGGCTCGGCACGCAACATTTCCCAGGAAGTTTCGACCTTGTATCACCACTGCGCTAACGTGGTTGGTACTGCGGACAAGACCGACGAAGACTACGTGTACAGATACTTCTTAGATTAACATATAAGATGTTAAAGCGCTATCTACATTTCTGAAAAAGGCAACATTCTTTGAGGTCTGAAGTCAGCTATCGATTTTGTTTCACAATGTGGATGGCCATTACCAGTGCCAAGGGCTACTATTACTACCATGGGCCTGTGTTCTCGTGAGTGCGGGTCCAGAGAGGCGAGGTTGCTGCTGCGTACGACCTAGGGTATAGTTATCCAACTAAACCGCATCAAATTCAAATCAATTACCAGTGTATTCCATTGCAGTTTTTGAGTGGAGAAGACAAGGTTTCGTGCTTTGACTCTTAGCGTAGACTCCAGCGGCTGGTATGTACTGGATTTTGGCATTGGGTACTGGATACCAGCACGATGACTGGACGTCGAACTCGCGTCGAGTGATCACAAGTTTGGACTGGGTTTTCGGACAGCAAACGGCCAGGGGGCATGAGGCGGGCGTGTTTCTGTCTGTCTTTACTGCTTTCATTGTGCATTAAGAACTAGTACACGCTTGTACCAGGCTAGGGCATGGATGACTCACGCCACTGGAGCCAACAAGCTTCAAGGTGAGGGGCCCCCGGACGTGCTTGAAAGCCTCACTGCTATTCTCTCGGCCTTACGATCAGAGCTCCCCGTGCCTTCGTCGAGCCAGGATGCGCAATCTCATTACCGCCTCGACCACCTTTTTCCTGCTGCTGCTACTATTCAACACGTCCGCTCCACCCGTGCTTGCAACTACAGAGTGTCCCCAGGATTCAAGCTACCCCATTAAGGCCACGCTCGATGACGGGAAGCTATTCAGCACTTGCGCCGAAAAATCTGCGGGCGTTCGAATTGACGTTCGCTCGCTCTTCGACGTGCTTAACTTCTCTGACCGCGACTTTCTCCTCTTCTGTCGTACATCAAGCTGCATTAAGCCAGTAACGTTGCTGCTACAAAGCATCCCGACCTACTGCCTCATCGCCTACCGCGGCGCAGCTCGCAATTTATCGGAAAAAGTCTCGGCGCTCTGTCTCCAGTGTGCCCAAGTCGTTGCAGCTGTGGATAAGACAGACGTCTTTAGATACTTCCTGGACTGACGCTGAAGCGACGTTTATTACCTTAACACGAGCACATTTCACCTCGCCTTGTATACGTTTCAAAATGTATTGAGATGTATACTAACTGCAACATGACCATCACTCCAAGTTGAAGTGCGACATGTCCGGGAAAGCCCGCATCCATTTCATTCCGCATTTCGCCTCGCAAGCCACAGGTCAAACCAAGGAGACGCTCAAGCCAAGTATGAACTGGATGACGAGCGGCAAGCACCGCGCGCTGTACTCGCAGCGTGGGCGACGCCGACAGATGCATTTTCCGTCCCAAGTCCAACGTCAGCGCGTCACGCCCACGAGTCCTTCACGTAGCTCCCAGTCTAGAGCAGGGGACTCGACGAGGCCCTGGTACATTGTGTCTATCGGAGACGACGACGAGTCTCAAGGTTTGTACTATTCACAGTTGAAGCGACTGTCTTCTGTATTTACTGACGAGCTCGAGTGGATGCCTGTAGATATCCGCGTCCTAGAACTGGAGCGTAAAGGAGCCATGTGCACCGCTGGTATTCAAGCCGAGGGGGCAGCTGGAGAGCCGGCATATGGTAGTGATAGTAAATACATTGAGCTACGGTCGATTTCGAGTCAGAAGAGAGGCCGCGAACAAGAAGTGAACGCTCAGGAAGAGAGAAGTGCGAACAGATGCATCTTTACCCCAGTGAAGAAGGCGAGAAAGTATGAGTCCTCTCGTGCAGCTCACTCAATCAAGAGTGCTCGTGGGGAGCGACCCCCATCGTCGATTGCTTCTGGCGTCGACTTGCTTTTTTTCAAGTATGATATGTGTATGTAGGGGTGTATCAGGGGATATCGCTGCTGACTCTGCGTTTGTGGTTGGTTGGATGAAGTGATGGACAAGAGCTACCACACAAGAGCAGAACTCAACACGCAAAGCAGGATATTGCTGAGTCAGTCCATCCAGACACACGACTTTCTCAGCGGATTTGTGACGATGGGGGTGAAGATGAGCTACAGGTATACGTGCTTGAAACTGCGTTTGATCTCCAATATCAACATTTTGTTATTTGAACCAGATTTTTCATGATGAAGATTTACACAGTCACAACGGAAAATTCGAGGCTCAGCAGCACTCACCAGATAGCGACAACACTGGCGTTCTTGGTCACGAAGCGTCTACTACCAGCAGGAGTGAGTTCGACCAACGAGACTATCAGCTATGGAGAATCAACTCCCGTTCTTGCGCTGGCTCCAGTCCTGATACAGTCACGTTGATTCAGTTTGTTGTTTAGACCATTCGAAGTATCTGACATGGTTTATATTACCCCGCTACAGACATTTTCTCGTCCAGACACTGCCTCGTTCGGAAACGCCAACGAGCCGTACGACGGGGGTAGCCTGTAAAAACCAAGTTAACGACTAATCTTCTCGTTCTCCTCGAAGAATTCATGAAACTTTTCATGCAACGACGCCGTCAAGTACACTCGAAGCTTCGCCTTTGTCATTCAAAATGAGCCGAGCAGAAGGTCGGTTTCCTGTCTTGGTAATATTTGTGTGGAAACTTCTTACTCCTTGTTGCATTCCAGTTTTACAATCCCAGCTCTCTACCAGAATTCGTTCGGCAGTACGTTGGGTTTTGAAACGTGAAGATCGAAATTTAAAGCGTTCATGCTCGCTCTGCTGTTCGCTTCAGACACGCGAACATCGAATGAACTTCACACCGAGCCGACGACCATCGCCAGCACCATCTCCGTCAACATCAACGTCATCACAGGATAGCATCGTACTAGGCCGCCCACCACTAGGCTGGCAAAAGAAGTTGTTGCTGGCGTTGGAGGAAAATCCGAGAGCCAACCCGGAACCTGCTTCATTTCGAGTCGGCAGTTCTCAAAGAAAGCTTGCTGACAGCGATTTAGAGAACGGTTTGTATATCGCGAAATTCTAGCACTGACGCTTGCGGTATCTCAGCACAACTTCACTTTTTAGATCAACTGGATTCGCCACCTTCGATTAGCAATTCGCGGGCGAGCGACTCGTCCAGCTCGATCACCGACGCACTCATTCCAGTTGACGCGAAAGAGCGCATTATGGCTGCAGCAACTTCTCAGCACTCTGAGGGCCCTTCGAGCTGGTATCCTCGACCAACCATGACGAGTATGCCATGAGGTGGAATGTTAACTCTGCTTTCTAAAGTTATTGTCGTTGAACTGTCATGCTGCTAGAACCTGGCAACGCGACCAACACAGACACAATTTTTAGTGGAAAACGTGCGGCATTTCAACAGTCATGGGTCATGTCGTCACGCACGAAGACTATTCTGGATGCAGCAGCGAAGGCTCCCTCCGTGGAAAACGCAATTCAAAAGAGCAACACGAAGCATCTTGAAATGGAGAGCGTCGCGATCTACATGTACACGCTGGTGCAGTGCTACAAAATCGACGAGAAGCTTCGGTTTGTACACTGCAGCCTGCTTCTGTAGCCCATACTCAACACTTTATTATGATTAGTGCTGGCAGTGGCAGCTCACCAGTAGCTGATCTTGCTCAACTACAGCTCGAAGTTCCTTCCACGGCCACTACCAGAGAGTTGACGAAACAAACGGATGGTCGTCGTGAACTTATCTTTTCACCGAAGCGCTCGCGCTAACTCACACAGTTGTCGTGCACTTTTACCAAGAGATCGGATAATTAAACTTACTCCTCTGAGTAGATCTTTGCCAGCGCTTTCTTGTTCACTTTACCCATCGCGTTCTTGGGGATCTCCTCCACGAAGAAGTATTTTCGCGGCACTCGATAACTCGCGAGGTGCTCTTTCGAAAAATCCACCAGTGGTGGTGTAAACATCTTCGGAAAAACTTTATCGCCTTTAACGTCGGAGCGAATGACAGCGGCAACGATCTGCCCCCACGTTTCGTCCGGCAGTCCGAAGACAGCGCATTCAAGTACCTGCGGGTGAGTCAGCAATACACGTTCGACATCCAGAGCTGACACCTTGTAGCCTGCCGTCTTGAGGATGTCAGCGCTCGCTCGTCCACGGATGCGAAAGCTCTTGAGCTCGTTGCTATACTGAACGATGTCACCTGTCTTGAACCAGCCGTCGGCATCGAACTCCTTGGCTGTAGCTTCAGGCTTCCTCCAGTACTCACGAAACACCGACGGTCCCTTGACACGCAGCTCTCCTTCCTTTTCGTCGCTTAGTGCAAGCTCGGTTTCTGTGTCGGGATCCACGACGCGAACAGAAACACTCGGGAACGGGTTACCAACGTATCCCAAGTGGCGCTCGCCATGCAGAGGGTTCGTCAACACCATTCCCAGCTCCGTCATGCCGTAGCGTTCAAGCAATCGAAGCCCCGTCAGACTCTCCCAGCGATTTAAAATGGACACGGGACACGCCATCGATCCACTGATCGCCACTCGCAAGTCACGTGCGCCTTTCAACGCGCTCTGGACCTTTGGATCGTCCTGTGGCTGCTTCTCCAAGTCTTCCAGCAACTTCATGTACACCGTCGGCACAGCCATCAACATGGAGACGGGACGTCTGGCGGCTGCAGCTTGGCCCAGCTTCGACCAGATAAGAGAAGGCTTGGCGAATGGCAGGAGCTCCACAGACCCTCCAGCATACATCACACACAGCATGTTGTTGAGGATGCCGTGCACATGATGAAGAGGCAGGAAGTGGATCAAGTGGTCGCTAGAATTCATCTCCCACGCCGTCACCAAGTCACTGATCTGCGCTGTCAAAGCCGCATGAGTGGTGACTACCCCCTTGGGACGTCCAGTTGTGCCACTCGTATAGATCATATACGCCCCAGCCGTGCTGTAATCCGTAGAGTCTAGCCACTGCAGCACTTGTTTCTCTTGCTCATTCGACAACGCCTTGTCGTCGCCTCCTTTGACATTATCAGGCCTCACAATCACCTCGACGTTTAATCTTGCTGGCAGTCCATCCACATACTCCTTCAACTTGGAGTTTGGCGTCATAAATGACTCATTAACAACGAGCAATGTCGCCCCAGAGTCCGCCGCAATGTAGTCCATCTCGTCTGCCGGATGCGCAGGATGCAGAGGCACCGCAATGCCCCCCGCCAGCCAAATGGCCCACTGGATGATCAGATACGACGCCCCACGAGCTCCAAGCAGCGCCACTCGAGGCTGCTCTTCATCCGTTGGCAGTTTTTCTTGCAGAACTTCACGAAGCGTGAAAGCTCGACGCAGCAACGCCGCATACGTCCACTCAAGAGCTTCGTCACCTGTTGATACCACCGCCACGGAGCTCTGATACTCGGGCAGCCTCTCGAAGATGTGCGGAGCGATAAGTTTCGTTGAGTGAGAGGTATATGTCGTCATGATTCGTGGAGTCTGCCGCAAAATCTTAACCCCCCCCAAGTTGGGGCCCAACGCGACTCGCGAGAAGCTCTCGCGTCGCGAGAGCTTCTGGCTTCCCGAAACCCCATACACGATACTATTTATCTCAAAGATGGGAACACATAGTTAAGTCTAGTTGCTAGTTATCATGTCTTGGCCACAGCCAGGGCACACCCCAAACCCCACGTCTTGATTGCTTTCGTATCGTGTATAGCAATGTACCCATCCGGTAAATGTGTCTGCACGATTCAGGATATTTACAATAACGTGTCCGTGTAGTGCACAGACAGCGCAGTAGTAGGTGCAAGACGTGTCACATATTTGCTGAAATTTAGAGTTTGTAGACAGCTGATATACATGTATATTTAAAACAAGTCAAAAACAAGAGCCAGAAGATAGTCAGACGAGTCTAGCTGCCGTGATCACTAGCGCGCGCACGCTTTCGTTGGCGAAGGCTGCTTGGAGCTTCATTTCCATTGTCGCTGACGTCACCTTCGTCGCTGCAATCACTGCCGTCTCCCGTATTGCTTTGCGCTGGCTTACGCGCACGAATATGGCGCTTCGCGCGCGCCTGAGGGATGCGTGTACCATTTTTCCAGTGTCTGTGCCAGATTTCGAAGCACGAGAGTGCCTGCCCGCTGCTTGTGTGCTTGACCTTGTTGCACAGGAAGACTCGCGACGCTCGTTGGTGCTTGGACGACGATTTCAGCTTACACCCACCACAGAAAAACGTACTTTCACCTCCACGCCATTCACTGGCTGACTTCAGCACTGAACAGACCTTACAGGCGCGTTGGCGGCGTTTTCTGGTATCCGTTGTGTTACCTTTACGCCACTCATCCGTTTGCATCGGAAAGTGACTGTTGGCAGTCTCTCTGGACTTGGTGGGGGTGGGCTGCATGCCGCGATGACGTAGCATTTGCTTCCAATCGTCCGTTTGTAGTTGGCACAGCTCCAGGTGAAGCATTTTAAGGAAGTACACGTGCGACACCTTTGACTTTCCATCGTACGTCCGGCGACAATTGAAAAGAATGTACGCGTTGATTATGACCAGGTCAATAAGACCAAGGAAGAGTTGTAATGACTACTTATTGTATCGACGCGAAAGCTGCAGTGAGTATCTAAATACAGATTACGTATAGGACACGATAAGCATTCCATGTTAAACCGTACATATTCAATAACAACACTTACCTCTGTAGACGTAGCTAATCGTGTACGTTCACACCTCCCATGTATGTTTGATAGTCTTTCATCAGTCTGGGTGCCATCATTTCCGCCATCTCTCTGGTGCCTTGATCGCGACGAACAATACGATCCTTAGCTGCGCTTCCTCCCGCTGCAAGAAAGAAAGAAGACACCTTGATTGTCATACCAACGAACCGCTTTGATCGTGGGCACCTTCAGACACTCAGCCACTTGATAGTCCCTTTCACAATATGTGGTGGCCTCTTGTTTGAAGCACGTTTCCCGTTCTTCTTCTTGGTGGAAGAATAGCTTCGCACAAACCTTGTTTGTTGGTCATAATAGTACCAATACTGTAGAACTTCATGGTCAGCAACTGCATTGCAAGGACGACGAATCGGTCGGTGATAATCAACCGAAACTTTGGAGGTCCAGTAGGTCCAAATACATGGCGAAGATTTCGCACGACTGCTGCTGGTCCGCAATTTGTGTCAGGTGGTGTATTTGTGTCTTGCAGCTGCTGTTTGCCGCAATACACCTCGAAACTGTACCATACATGTTGCGGGTTTCACGGCTTTCGTTTAAAAGTTTTTTAAACGAAACCAAAAGAAACTAAAAAACCCAAAAAAAAAAAGCGAGCCGAAGGCTCGCTTTTACTCACCGTATGCAATATGCTGTTTTCGAGCAGCTCAGCATGAAGAGTTTAGTGCCCCATTTGTGAGATTTATCCGTCATGAACACTCGCATGCGATTGAAGGTGGAGCGCGACGGAAGCATAGCTTCATCGAATACCATCACTGCCGGTAAAATCCAATTGCGCAGGAACGTTTCTTGCAGAGTGTCGGATACAGGACGCAATTTCCACACTCTATCACACGCGGCACGCGGATCACTATTGCTGCTGAAGTGTAGGTTTCGAAATATGTGAGCGAAGCGGTCTCTGGTCATGAACTGGCCAAAACAGCCCCTAGGAATGGCCCCTTCATCAGTGGTCTTCCAATGGTTCTCAAACTTTTCCTTGTTCGGACAAATTGTCCGCGCGATAAGCAAACCAACAAAAATGCAAACCTCTCTTCCCGAAACATCAACCACCTTCTCGAGCCACGTCTTGATTTGTTCTGGAGTCAGCTCCATTAACGGCTTCGAGAAGTGACTCATCAAAATGCATATCTACTGGAGGCTCAGTATCTTCAACTTCAGCAGGGTCAGGCTCCTCTGGTCCCAAGTCATCGTCGTCGTCGTACACAGACCCATGTTCAGTGTTGTCATCCGAATCAAGGCCAGCAAAATCCTCAGGTCTTTCACCAGGCTGCACAAGGTTTGGGTCGTCTACTAACGAGAATACACGATATGAATAAGTAACGTAAAATACAAAAGTGTATGGATAACAATACCTATCGCAAGAGGCTGTACTGCATCAGGTTCATTCGTCACTTCCTCCGATGGAGGTTCTATCTCATCGCCACCTTCATTCACGAGACTCACGATGTAATGGGCCCCTCCATTACATAAGTAGGTAGATTTCTTTACAAAAGTAGGTGCATCAGCACACGACTAGCGTGTGCTGAAATGCTGTCATGCCATTGGCTGATATATGGGGAGCCAGACCCATTATTAGCCAATTGGACTATGACGTGTATTTGAGTGTGGCCTTGGTCCTAAAATAAAGTCAGAGTTGATTTTTCCTTAAACCTAAGACTCAGTCGTCCTATTGCGAGCTTCCTCAACACTATAGTGTAAGCAAGTAACGGAGTAAATACCTGGCCCGTTACACACGACCTCTTCGTCACTCTCAACAACGTCTTTTTCGCTGCTATCGTCATCTCCAAACAGGTCATGCTCTAAGGTTCGCTGAGCAAGTGGTATCTCTGAGGCACAAACCAAAACACGCATTAGTGTATACCTCAGTTTCACATCAACAAAATAGTAGCCCACCGTCTTCACCCGATGCAGGCGAGATGTGGGTTGATGTTGCAATCAGAGCATCACCACCAACACTGCACTCTTGCGAGCTGGTAAGGGCCGTTAAACCTGTACAAGACACAATAAGATTAGACTTCTAAAGCATTTATTATACACGAGAGCATCATACCTTCATTACTTGTACAAATCGCTTTATCTGGTAACTCAGTTGGGCTACCTGGCGGTCCTGAGTCGTTGTACTCAGTTGCATCTCGTACAGGGGTGCTGGATGTAGCGACGGCTGTATGATACACGATACAATCAGTTGATATTGCATCTAATACAGGATAGCAATTCATACCTGTTTCAATCTCCCCTCGACTCTGGGCTGGAGGATCACACGCAGTACTGACTTGTGGATTTGGTACAGGCCTTTTAGAGCTCTGCTGTCGAAGCTCCGCTACGCAAACACAAGTCGTTAGACTAAAAAATCCCCACTAAGCATAATCATACGTACCGAGATCCAGCTGATCCAAAAAGGCCATCAACTCTTTTTCACCCACGAAGAAATCTTTCCCGCGGATGCCCTTCGTACTTTGACCAGGCATAATGTACGTGAAGTCCACCGATAGGCCCTGGGGTCTCTTTGACGACCATCCTTCTCTTCTCAGCTCTCGCCAGCGCGCTTGAAAGGCCATTGTTTGCCAACGGGGGGAGATTCTAGAATGAGTGGCAAACAAGTGGCGCGCAAATGCACCTCCAATTGTTGATATAATTGTGTGGCGCACACTTCTACCTGTGGCTTCTGATTTTTAGAAAATCAAGATCTTGCAGATCTCAGTCGATCTGAGTGGAAGATACATGTGATAAAAACAAAAAAAAACTACCCCCCTTTGACTTAAAATTTGCATACAAAAAAGACGTCAGAAATCCTTATCGTGTCTATTACAGGATAAGCATTTTCGGGAAACGTGTCTAATACAGGCTCTCGCGTTGGGGGGGTTAAGTGAGCTTCAACCACCAAGTGCTAGCCGCACGTCAACATAGATGTCGTTATTCTGAGAAATGATTTACCAATTAGCTGACTTTAAATTTGATAAATTTTCAAGTGTCCACCAATCATTAATCAATAAAGGATGTAACGATTAGTGAAAAATCAGCTAAGTTTTTGTGCTCGGTCTTCAACTTGCCCTGCAGTGGATTCATACATGTACTAGTTATTAATAGTGCTTTGAAGGCGTGTTCTCAACCAAAAAAGGTAGGCTGACGGAATTTTAGACGAAAGTAGCCATCTACATGTATCATGGATGGCACGTGAGTTGAGCGATACGTCCAGTCCATGACACACTTGGTGTTTCATGACAGCGTCATTCCCTTCCTCGCTGTCCAAGGCCAATACTGGTAAGACCATGGACCCGTTTCTCCAGGCTGCAATTGACGAGGCCAAGCTGGGCCTGAGCGAGGGGGGCATCCCCATCGGCTCTGTGCTTGAGATCGACGACAAAATCGCTGCGCGCGGCCACAACCGCCGCGTTCAGCGTGGCAGTGCCGTGCTGCACGCCGAGATGGACTGCCTCGAGAACGCCGGACGACTCACGGCCGCCGACTACGCGCGTGCCACGCTCTACTCGACGCTGAGTCCGTGCGACATGTGCAGCGGAGCTGTGCTGCTCTACAAGATCCCGACAATCGTCGTAGGCGAGAACAAGACCTTCCAGGGCCCTGGAGAGTACGTGCGCTCACGAGGCGTGGACGTCAAGCTGCTGCAGGACGAGACGTGCATCAAGCTCATGCAGGACTTCATCCACGACAAGCCGCAGCTATGGAACGAGGACATTGGCGTCTAGGAGATAGGACTAACGATAATACCTTTTTTCGTACCGTTATGAGCGACTGGTTGCTGGCTGTTCACTGCGGCGCTGGACGTTACGGCTCCTCTAACGAAGCAGCGTACCTCTCGCTACTTCGAACGACCCTCGAGAGTGCTCACCAACTTATTGCACGCTCCCCTTCTCCAACGGCGGCGCAAATCGCGGCATATTTGCTGCAGGCTTTTGAGCACAGTACACTCACCAATGCTGGTCTTGGAGCGAATTTAACTGAACAGGGGCGCGTGGAGTGCGAAGCCAGCGTCGTGTGCGGGCAGACGCACCTAGTGAGCTGCTGTGGAGCTGTGACGGGAGTGAAGGAGCCGAGTGCGTTGGCGTTGAAGCTCTTGGAACAAGCCAAGAGCGACGACTCGAACGCGACGTTTGCGTTCGGTCGACAACCTCCGCTTGTCGTTGTAGGCGAGCACGCTCGCAAATTGGCACATGACTTTGGACTGGAGACAGCGGATGATGAAGAGCTAGACAAGTTTCAAGTGACGGAGACGACGCGAGAACATTGGACCAAGTGGCATCGCCGCTTTCAAGAGCTTAAGACCAAGGTGGAGGAGAAACATTTAGACACCGTTGGCGCCATTTGTATGGACCCAAGAGGGAATGTAGCTGCTGCGTTGTCCAGTGGCGGGGTGGCGTACAAAGTTCCAGGTCGCTTGGGACTTGCGGGGTGTCCGAGAATGGGCTGCGATGCGTCGAATGCTGTGAATACGACGACAAGAAGTCGCAAAAGGAAGCGAAGTGAGCGGAACAAAGTGAAAAATGCCTTCGCTGTGGCCTGCACGGGTAGAGGAGAGCACTTTCTTCGTAGTAATTTGGTAGGAACATTGACTCGGAGGCTGTCAAAGTCTGCGGATTTGGAGCGAGGATTTCGAAAAACATTCGCTGAAGGCAGTGAAGCTAATGGAGGAGTGGGAGTTGAAGGCGGCGTGCTAGCGCTTGTGTCAGAGCCAGCAAGTGAGAAAGACACAAATGAAGCGGGTGAGCGGCTGGTTCAGCTGGGTGCAGCGTTCACGACTCCCTGTATGGGCGTTGGAATCTTGCAATGCCGTGCTGATGCTAAGCCTGAAGTGCAGGTACAGCTCTTGCGCCAACCAGCATCAGCGAGTGGTGAGCAGGATCTCTCCATTCACGTGTCGCTCTTGCGTCTCAAAAGTGAAAAGTGCTGATATGCTTACGACCTTGGAACTCTACCGGAACTCTACCAAAACCCAATCACAAACACAAATTTAAAAGCGAAATGTGTTGAAATATATGTCGAATTTGTGATATGTCTGCTATCATACCAAAATCGAGTTTGTGTAGGTTTTGGTAGAGCTCCATTGATGAGCTTCATAGCTGGAAACATCCTAACGCTACGCAAAGATGGGTGCCTTGTGACAACTTGAAATCTGGCTGGCTGGCTGTGTGTTGGCCCAACACTGTTGGGGAGGGGGGGGGGTAATGCAATGGCAAGGGGTTGCGAAAGTGTGCGCAACGAAGCTGTTTGAAATGCTCAGCTGAAAGACAAACAACATTCTGGCCTTGGATACCGCTAATGCTTTTTGCCTAACGCTACCTAATCTACACAGACAAGAACGACCGATGCCTTGTCGAGGAATCAATTATTAATACTACGTAGTACTACACTGTAGTATTAACACGCATGCCGACGAGTGCCAGTATGACCGTGGTAAACCTCGATTGCACCAAAATCGAGAAGCTACGGCTTGGTTAACCTGTTCTATAAACGCGTTGAGCTAGCAAAAACGCATTCCAGATTGCTCTCGCCTCGAACCATTGCACCCATAGCCATTGACAGAAATTATCTTCTGTCGTTGTAGATTTAAAAAGATCTGAAATCTGATTTTAGATCTGGTATAACGGAGATCTACATGTATCTAGCGGCTGGACATGGTTGGTTGGCCTGGCCAAGCTGACGTACACAGTACACTGTACTGTAGTGACAATCAGAGAAACGGTGCGCAACGTTGTCCTCCCATTTTCATGTGTGCCCGTGTGTATGTGCCTTGGTGGTAAAGTATTGCTTCACCAAACTTGGTCATCAACGTCGATGTTGCAGCGGTTTACCACGTCGAGCACCAAAACCGATGGTGACCATCATGGTCAACCACGACGTCCTGGTACTGTAATGCCAAAGGAACAAGCAGCAAATAACTAAAAAAATACGAAGCGTCCAAACTGAAGCACGGTCCAACTGGCGAGATGTAGGCTGAAGTTGTGCTTCAGAATGTCAACAATCGCTCTGATCTTGAAGACGCGCTGTCCTACCTTTGCCCCTCCTCTGCAATCGATTGCAAGGTCGGACACATCACAAGCTGTCTGTTAATTAAACTCAGTGCTCTTCCTGTTATTGAACTTGTCTATTCATCAGTTATCCGGACATTTCGTTATACCGTATTCCTTATGTGATTGGCGACAGTCAAATTCTTGAGGTGGTCCAGCCTTTCTGCCAGCATAAAAGATACCTGCATAAAAAAAACTATATAACATGCTAAAATTATATTGGTCGCCAAGCACATAAAGCGCGACGACACGAAATTTAAATCAATTTGATTGGCTGCTGGATTTGTCGCTAATGACCGAGCGTCGCCAATCACATAAGGAATACGGTATTTCATCAATACTCCGTCATCACCCAGATTGCGCTGGCTGCCACGTACGCGTGCCGTAACGAAATCTCCACCCTGTGGCTAGCGTCCAGCATCTGGAGCTCTCCTGCGCCATACAACTCCAGACCATTCTCGAATCTACACCGCAAGACTCAGGACCAGCAAGCACAATGGCCCCCAAGATCCGCCACGCCGCCCCCGCCTTCACCGCCGACGCCGTCGTCGACGGAGAGTTCAAGACTGTGTCGCTGTCCGACTACAAGGGCAAGTACGTCGTGCTCTTCTTCTACCCCATGGACTTTACCTTCGTGTGCCCCACGGAGATCATCGCATTCAGCGAGAAGGCGGCGGAGTTCCGTAAGCTTGGCTGTGAGGTGCTGGGCTGCAGCGTGGACTCCAAGTTCTCGCACCTGGCGTGGATCAACACTCCCCGCAAGCAGGGCGGTCTGGGCGAGCTGGACATCCCTCTCCTTGCCGACTTTAACAAGGAGATCTCCCAGGCGTACGACGTCCTGATCGACGTGGGTGAGGAGACCGGTGCCACCTTCCGTGGTCTGTTCATCATCGACGGTGAGGGCAAGCTGCGTCAGAGCACCATCAACGACTGCCCCGTTGGTCGCAACGTGGACGAGATCCTTCGTCTGGTGGAGGCTTTCCAGTTCACGGATGAGCACGGTGAGGTGTGCCCGGCTGGCTGGAAGAAGGGCAAGAAGACCATCAAGCCCACGGTGGACGCGTCGAAGGAATACTTCGAAGCCGCTAACTAAACCGAAGGTGGACGTGTGGGGTTCCAAATGAGCAGCGATAAACACTAGATACGTCGCAATACAAGTTAAGTTACAGCAGATGGCCGAGTTATCATTCAATTTCGGACAACGTGCCTATTATAAACTGCAATACTGGACAATCTGTCGACTACATGGACGCGGCAATTTCTACTTTGAAATACTACGTAGTACTTCTGTAGTAGCAGCGGTCCTTGATGAAGGTTTGAGAGTACTCTTTCTCCTTGGCACTTTACTTTAACTACTACTACTACGTAGTACTACGTAGTAGTAGTATGTCACAAGGCCAACCGGTTTGATAGAATCTGTGAAGTTTATTTGGAGCTATTTTTCGTTGTCTACAGTGCTACATTTGTAGTTTTTTTTCTTGCTACACAGAGCGCCACTGTCCTTCAGCAGCGGCTCCAGGTTGCCAGTCTTGTGCAGTTTGTGCACATCCGAGTTGCCGCCGATCGACTTGCCCGCCACGAACACGTTGGGCACCGTGCCCTGACCCGTCAGGTCTTCCAACGCGTCCTGCTGCTCACTGCCGCCTTCAATCTGGTCCAGCTCCACGACCTCGTACTTGGCTCCCAGCTCCGTCAGCAGCGTCTTGGTCTTGGTACAGTACCGGCAGTAGCTCTTGCTGTAGACGACGACGGGCGACGCAGCAATCTGAGTTTGCACGTTTTCCTTGGCGCTCACCATTTTTAAATGAAGCAGTAAAGGTTTTGATCTTCTTGTTGTTTTGGAGGAGAAAGGGGAACTGAGGAGATGCTGGTCCCGAAACTGAGTGCGCCTACTGTGGACAATGCTGCATAAGTCAACTGGCGATGCAACTAGAGATAATGAGGGCTGGGCGCAGCTATTAGACATTCGGAAGAAGGTAAAGACAGCGTTCAAGAGCTGCTGAATACATAATTCATGTATAAATGAATTAAACTATGTCTTCTTTTTACGAATAACATCACTTAATACTGTAGAGAATGAAACATTCACGTTGTGACGGAGCTCCTTTCCTTCTGTTGCTGTCGTCACCGCATCTCTCATATTATCGCCTACAGTTGCCGCAATATCTCCATGAAGCTCCACCAGCGCCACGAGAAGATCCTTCATCTTGTTCAGCTTGAGCTGAAGCTCCTCAAGCTCTGAAATCCGGCTCCATAGAAGCATTGAAGAAGCTTCCTGCGGTTGCAAGCACTCGCTGCTCACGTTTTCAGTGTGCATGTTCGCGTGGCGTGTCCTCCGGCACCTCGCTCGATGCTCTTGCTCCATCGCGTTATTGACTTTGGTGTATATGCGTCGTTTCGCCAACTGAACCGGCAATGACTCCGAGCTTAACCGTGCGAACCGGTTCATGTGGAGATGATATATTACGTGAGTGGTGGTTATATATTATTCGATTTGAGGGGAAAGGTGCCGAAGCAGAAATAGCAAGGTGCTGATCTTATAATTTATCGATCCGATTATGTAGACAGGAAAGGTGCTGAAGGTGCCGTTACAAAGGTGCATTAACGAGAGCGGTTGCTCGGTTGTAAGCACTGATGATCGAACTTAAGAAAAGTCTCGCTGTATCTTTTTTATAATACCAACAAAAGTACCAATTGGCTGATCGCATGTACTTGTGTCTAAGCCTTCTTCATTTCATGATTTTTTTTTAATAATTCTCTCTGCCACTGTACAGTCCGGTGACATTCCAACCCTCTGTTCTAGCTGTAACTCTACCTTCTGGTATAATTTATGCCGACATGTAGATGTGAGATTAATTAAAGGGCTACATAAAATAATAGCAATGAGATTTATTTTACCAAACACTATTTAATGGGAGTTCTTTAATACTCTCACGGAGATCAATTGCTGTGTGGAATAAAAAATTACTCCACACAAAATAATTTCAATGAGATTCATTACCGCGACCACTGTAGTAAACGAGTGAGCATATTTAAATATTGCGGAGGACATCGGCGTACTTACATGAACGGTGCCGATGTTGATGCCAGAAGTAGTATAATATATGTATTATACTTGGTTTTCGTGTTTTTTTTTTCAAGCGTGTGATCAATCTTCATTCAGCTGGCCAGCCCTGCTTTGCGGGGGTTTGTTATCGGATACGGAGACTAACTACCGTCCATTGTTATTACGTGGCATTCTGAATGAGATGTTGATCCTCTTTAAGGGCGGTGTGTCTCGGCCGAGCTAACAAGAGCCTTTAATAAACGATGGCATTTATCGACGCCATGATAACTTCGCATTAAGACCGGTGGACACACGATGGGTTTAACAAGCGCGACGACTGATAAATGAGCCGTTTGACCACCCAAGAAACTCAACGGAGCCAAGAATTGCCGTCTCTTCACCGGATATTCAGTTGTGAGTTGGAGCTCTAGCGCAGGTTGCGAGCAGGCTTCGTTCGACATCATCATCATTATGACGGTCATAGGCGTTGGTGCTTCCTTTTCAGCACACTTGAAGCCGGCACGTGCGACTTTACGATCCCACAAGTTTGCTCCTGCACTTCACTTCAAGTCTCCGTAGGCAACGCTGCCTATCCAAAATCAATACGTGGTAGCACAAAGCACGCTGTTGCTTACCACAGGTAAAATCTGCCTCTGTGGCTGACAGTGTCAGTCGCGAATCAGCTGGGAAGAGCTCTCTTAAATTATGATCCCTGGACACTCGATCTCCATCTGGCAGCCCAGTCAGTCCCTATTTGATAGGCCTCCAATCTTAGCTGACAGACCCCTATACTATCAATTGCCAAGAATGACAGTCGCAGAAGTGGTGGCCCCAGTTCTTGACCGTCAGTCTATCCATACAATATAATCGCTCAGTTCGCTTTCACCCGTGGTAGACGACAGGAGGCGGAAGTCTAAACCTAGCGGAATATTCTTCGAGTGTCTTCAATCTAGTTCTACGCCGGCTTCTATCGATCTGGCTTCCACTCAACTGAGAAGCGACGGGTTCATTTTTGCATTCTCCACGAAACCAACCTGACTATTGTGGCCATGCCAGCAAACCAGACGCAGTCGCGATCTCGAAATGGCTCCGTCACTGCCACCAAGGAGACAACGGGTCTACAACTGCTGTCGCCGACTCTCCAGCAGTCGATTCAAAGCTCGACGTCGAAGCTTTCGTCATCGCATCCAGCGGATTACTTTGGCTGGAGCAGCTCACCCCCTGCGAGCTACGCTTCATCCGATCTGGGACCTGATACAGACACGAATAGCAACCAGATCACGAAGGACAACAACGACTCGGTAGGCTTTGATTTCGACGGGTTCACGCTCGAATCCGTGCGGGGACGAAAGAAATCGGTAGAGCAAGACGCATCTGGAACGTCTGCCCGCCAAAGCTCACGTGTTGCTCATGGGAACAACACTAGCAATGATCATCTACACGGCGAGTATAGTGCGTTTTACTATGACGACAAGTCCAAGCACAACCCACTCAGCTGTAGTATGGGGAGCATTCAAACCACAAGTACCACCGAGGATTTTGAAATGTCTCGACGTCTTCAACAGCACTCGTTCCAGAAGCAGAGTGGGATGAGTCGCTCGTGTGGAAGTGAAAGTAACCGCGGAACCTTCCAGCTAAGCTCCACCGCGGCGTCGGCTGGGTTTCCTATGGCCAAGAGGAAGGAGCTGACGGCAGTGGTGATGCGAGGCTGGCTGCAGAAGCGCAAGGGCCTCGTGCTCAAGCGCTGGAAACCGTACTACTGCCTTTTCAAGAGCGACGACAGTCTTTGTCTCTATGCGAGCGAGGACACGGTCAACGGGAAACTGGAGCAGCGATTTCAGGTTCTGCGTGTTGAGCTTACGGACAAGAACGACTCGTTCCACGTTATTGGCGTGGACACAGATGGTACTCCACGCCGTGAGGAGCTCCGAGCATCGGTGTCTCCGGAGTGGAATAACTGGTTCCAAGTGCTCGGTAGATTCTTCGACAGCTCATCTATGGAGCAGGCCTTCGTTCGGAAACCCGAACTCACCTTTGCTAGGTCTTTTAATAAGACAGAAGAGTGCAACTGGGTCGACAATAACGTGGATCCTGTTCTCACCAGGAAGAACTACCAGTCTTATGACGAGCGACATAGCTATTTCGGCCAAAGGAAGCAGTCCATAGCAGCAGTCCGCAACTCGTTCGACGGTAATGGTGATGACAAAACGTCCACAATCTCTTCGTCTTCAGCTCCCAGCGTCGGTGTGAACAACCTACACCACGAATCAGGGAAGGTTGGCAACCAAAAACTATTCGACTGTCCCATGATCGAGAGAAAAAGTCAGGGAGCCGTTCCTATTCTGGAGATTCGTGCATCGAAACCGAAACAGACTGAGGTAACAACACTTGCGTCCGGGTTCTCCTGGACAAAGTAGAGTAGCTTAAAACCACCATTTTATCTGTGTTGCCTTTTAAGGCAAAACATACACTTCAAAATACAGCCTTAATGACCCCCCCCTTCCCCCGCACTACGCTGTAGATTTAAACATGTTCGTCCTTCTAAAGTGGCCAAGCGCTATCGAGGTGCTTCTCAAAGTGCTCATCACTGATCGGGACCTCCGCGTTTCTGAAGTTCTTACCATCGTTTAGAGCTGCACGCGCCGCGCCGGTGAGTTGTTCCCACATGATCAAGTCTTGGTACTCGCCCTTCTCAACAGACAAGTCTAAACTCCCATGGCCAATATTTGTATTGAATTTGAAGCGAAGAGACGTGTTGGAGATGGCAGTCTCCCAACCCCTTCCAGAGCCAACGAAATACTTTTGCAGCATTTTGGTTTCCTTGGCGTATTTCGCGCCGGACTTTGACATGGAGGCCCCAGCAATCATCGGCGTCTCAAACCCGGGATTGTTAATCCACACAACAACGCTCTTCCAATCACGACGTCTCGAGGCGAATTCCATGAAGAAGCCCTTTGGAAAGTACCAAGCGTACATGATCGCCCACACATCCTTGTACCATCCAGCTCGGCCATAGACTTGAGATCCAAGAGGAGCATATTTGCAAGCGTCGTTCCCTGTCGACCCCTGGAGCCCGCCGGTGGTCTCACCCTCAGCATTTACGGCAGGAAAAGGCACGCAAACGTGGACTTTGTCATGATTGATACTTGCCGAGCACAAACAATCACGAGCACAAGCAATTACCGCGCAGAAGAGCATCGCCAGAGCTTGAAGGTTCATCTTGACCTAGAGAATGGAACAATGCGCTGCAGCAGTGGCCACTATTATCATTATAATACAGTAAATAAGGTCCGTCCTTCTTCGAGCTCGCTGCTGCGCCCAACTGGAAATCACCAACTTTACTAAATCCAAGTATCTCTCATCACCGTCACAGTCCAAAGATAATGAGGGCGAATGTCATTTGATCTTTAAGTTTTGCTCCGCAAGACGGTAAAAAGATTCTCTCACCTGCAGAGTGCAATGGCTGCCTCTCTGGAAAGCTCGACGATGGACCTGCCTTCGCAAGTACCGCGCGGGTTTGGTACGGCCAAGAAAAACTCGTATCCGCTCACCTCTGTTGATCTCCGTTTGGAGAAGTAGTTCCACCCCCTTCATCTCAGTTGGGCGCAGTATTCACTTGAAGTGAGGCACAACCATAATCTTATGATTATGTTCTCGTGATTCAGAATCAGGCACTTACCGTTACCGCATCGCTGTCCTAAGCGAACGCCCATGTTCGACGTTTACGAGTAAGATTACTAGCAAATCTCACAATTAGTGCTAAAAAGTAGAAATTACTCCAACTGAATGTTCGGCTCGTGAATGACCTGCCTCCATTATTTTTAAAGTGGTCCGCTGATGAGAGCTGTTAATAGCATTTCGGTCGAATAGCTCTAGCTATTTGTATGCCGTCACTCTTCCTATTGCCTCTTTATCAGCCCCAACCAGATAATTGAAAGGACTCATTAACGTGCAGCCATCTGTTTTAAATAAAGCGCTTCCATTGGCCATAATCGAAGTTTGCTTAGGACAACTTGCGAAAGGCAATAAATACGCAGAGCGAAAGCTCACTCTCAAAGGCAACTTCTTGAGCAGGCAGCAAGATGATGTCCGTGCGGCACGTGTATTTTGTTGTTGTGAAGTTTTCTCTCGCCTGTCGCATCTGGTGTGGTACACGTTAACACTCACTTCACTAACATATCATAGTCCCGGATAGCCAACGTAGGCCGTAGATCAGTACTCCGCAACAGCCCCACCTACTGGTCTTCACGTTGGCGTAACGACTTCTCAAACTCTGTCCGTGACAACAGTCCCATTGCAGCTCGGTGTTTCTCAAACTTTACACGAGGTAATGGCTTTGTAAATGCGTCTGCCACGTTGTCAGTTCCAGAAACGCGAAATACGTCAATCTCTTGTAGTTCAACACGCTCACGTATGAAATAGTGCCGCACATCGATGTGCTTGGTTCTGTTGTGAAACGCTGAGTTCTTTGCCAACTTCTTTGCACTCTCATTATCCACAAACACGTGTGTAGGCTTGTTTTGTTTCATCTGGAGTTCCTTCAGCATTTGCCGTAGATGTATCACCTCCTGTACGAGTAGACTTAGTGCCATGTATTCGGCTTCGGTGGCATGCAGTGCCACCGTTTTTTCTGTTTGACTACTCCATGATATGGTACTTCCACAGTACTGAGTTAAATACCCAGCAGCCGATTTGCGATCGTCCACTCGATTCGCAAAATCAGCATCAGCAAAAGCAGTTAGATGTTTATCCAATTTTTTTTTCACCCATTCAATACCACCCAGCCGTAACCCCCAGTCTACTGTCTCTTTTAGATATCTCAGTCCACGCTTTACAGCATACCAGTGTAGTTTACCAGGGTTCTGGAGGAATTGGCTACATTCTCTAACTAAATAAGCCAGATCAAGGCGCGATCCCAACATCAGATACATCAAGCTTCCAACTACTTCGCGATACGGCTTTGCTCGCATTAACTCCTGTTCATCTGCGTCCGTTGGGCACATCGTCTCTCTCAGTTTCAAATCTGATGTGCTCGGCGTTTTACAACCGTTGCACTCACTCATTCCGAATCGCTCCAGCACCGATGTCGCGTATTTTCGCTGGCCAATAAAAACCGTCCTCGCTTGACGATTTCTTGTGATCTCCCATCACAAGATATAGTGAAGCTCTCCAAGATCCTTCATGGTGAATCTTATTTCCAGCATTTGCTTCATCTGGGAAATCATATCTTTTGTCGGTGCAAACAGGATTAGATCATTCACGTAGATAGCAATAAAAACAAGCTACCCATCACTGACTTTAACAGCTAAACATGGCTCGCAATTCATCAGACCAAAAACCTTGTTCTTCCAAGTGTGACTTTTACAAGCGAAACCACACGCGTGGCGCTTGCTTTAATCCATAGAGACTCTTTTACAAGAGACACACCCAGTCCTCTTTTTCTTCAACCACGTAGCCTTCGGGTTGCTCCATTAGCACTTCAACATCAATGGGACCGTTCAAAAAGGCTGTGGTGACATCCATCTGGTACATTTCGTAGTTCTAGACAGCTGCCAGCGTCAACAAGACGCGTAAAGTCTCCAGTCGAACTACTGGGGAATAGACCTCCAAGTAGTCGATGCCATACACTTGCATGAACCCTTTTATTACGAGCCTAGCCTTAAAGCGCTCGATGTCTCCACTTGCAAGGTATTTTACACGGACAATCCATCGATTTCGCAATACTTTCATGCCTTTCTTCCGTGGCACCAGCACCCACGTTTCGTTCTCAATCAAAGAACGATATTCTGTATCTGCAGCTTTCTTCCACTGCATAAACAGTGAGCTTTGTTCGACTTCACTTATCGTTTGTGGCTCAGTAATGACACTCATGGTCAGGCAGCAATAATCTTCCCACCATGCAAGTGCGTTTATCTTTGCCACCTCTTTTTGCATTGCCTCACGAGCGTTCTCCCAATTAGGGGATGCAGGATATACTGAGTCCTTTGGGTTACAGTACACGTACCGCAGATGGATGAAATCACCCAACCACCTTGGCGGTTTGGAAGCACGCCCATTCCGTGTTAATGGATGGGTCTCATTGCCTCCACTACCAGAAGTCTTTCTTTCACGAGGAACACATTTCTTAGAAGAGGCAGTTAAGCGCTCTGCATTTGTGTTACCACGAGAAGTTAACACCTCCGGTCTTGTGGTCGTCATCTCACAAGGTAAGTTTACCGGAGTAGGTAGCCGCTTAGTAGCATAGATATCCTCATTAGCCACACCTGGCTTATTTTCATCAAGGGTATCCCGTTGAGACTGTATTTTAGCAGCCGGTATCAATTTCCGCTCACTGCTCTTCTTTTCACAGATCTCCTTCTGTGCGCTAGGAGCCTTCGTCCTATTCGGCAGCATTAACTCACGCTGTACGTGGTCCGCCAGCTGATGATTATTGTCATCATCGCACACAGTGTTTGGCTCCGAGACACCTGGTGCCCTCGACTTGGCAGCACGCAATTTCTTTCTGGGGTTCTTATTTTCGTCAGAGGTGTCACATGTAGTTTGACCTCGTTTCTTTCCCTGCCCGCCATAATTGCTTTTCTGCTGCACTTCATTCTGGGCCCCACCAGCTGGGTGCTGTACCTCATCTTCGTCAGCCCCACCAGTCCGAGCCACACTACTATCCCTGGTTGCCTCTTCATCCAGCATAACCGGGATTCTCTCCATAGTGACGTCCACTTGGAGATATTGCTTCGTCGAAGCTGTGTCAGTAGTATCTAGCTGCCCTGCCATAAGTCGACCTGCCTTCTCTTTATAGAAGATGGCTGTATGATAGTAGAATGCCTTTCCGGAGTGGCTGTCCAATAGACGATATCCACGTTTCTCTCGATTGTATCCAACAAATACAGCTTCACGAGCTTTGGCATCCATTTTGTGTCTTTCAGGCCTGTCAGTATACGCCAAAACCGCACATCCAAAAGTACGAAACCGAGAGTAGTCTGGCGTCTCTCGATACCTAATCGCATACGCAATCTCCATTCGCCTAGTGGCGTTTGGTACAACATTCACGCAGTAGGCGGCAGTGACGGAAGCTTCTGCCCACAATTGCTGAGGAAGCTGAAAATGCACAAGAAAACATATCATCCTTTCCGTCACAGTCCTTATCATTCTCTCGGCAACGCCATTCTGTTCTGGTGTATGTTTGACACTGAAAGAGCACTCCATGCCATACTTTACCTTACAAATATGTCCGAGCTTTTGGAGCTCTTGAGCATTGTCAGTACGAAGTTTTTAATTCAGTTGTGTCTTCACCCCTTCATAGTACTGCTCTAACTTTTCATAAATTTCCGAGCGTGACTTCAACAAGAACAGGGTCACGAAACGGCTAGCCTCGTCGACGAATATGGTAAAATATCGTTTACCAGAGAAAGAGGTCACTGCATATGGTCCCCACACATCCGCATGAGCAAATTCGCCGACTAGCCAATCATTTGCTTGCTTACTACTCTGTGCGTGTAAACTCGTTCGAGTCGGCTTCCCCTTCACGCAAGAATAACATCTGAAATGGTAGGGAACACGTAGATCCAACTGTGATAGTGGCCAACGAGAGTGACGAAATAATGCATTGAAAACATTTTTTTTCAGGATGGCCCAACCGGCTATGCCACAACGCAACGCGGCTTTCATCCGTCGTCGTCAACATTGCAGTATCTGCAGGGCTCAGCACATCAAGTCGGTAAAGATTTGTTTCATCAACTCTTGCAGTTGCCACACCACATTGCAACTTAATTTGAGCAAAATTCTCGTCATCAAAATGGACTTGAACTCGCTCACTCGGCAGTAGCACCTTCCTAGTTTGCTGTCGGACTGAAAACAGGCTGCATTGTAGCTCTGGAACATAGCGTGCATCATGAAGCAGAATCATCTTCTTTCCATGTGACGTCAACGGCTCTTTCTGCACTATTCCCACTCCAGCCACTGACAACCAGTTATTCCCACGCACCGAAGCGCTCAGTGGTGTGAATGAGGTATACTCAAGTTTTTGGTTAGTCATGTGACTCTAGCTCCGGTATCAAGATACCAACGACTGCCAGTCAACTCCTCTTTCTGTTTATCCAGTACGGAAACACTCGAGAAGGCATAAGCACTTTCTTCACTTTGATTACTATCGTTTCCCCCACCTCCACTTGGATGTGAACCATAATTCGATTTTCCGCGTT